ATTAATTTCAACTGGATACCTCCAGGCGTTCCCAAAAAAAGGATGTTGACAGACGGACGGGCGGATGGACAACAAACTGATCCTATAAGAGTTATGTTTTTTCCTTTAGAGGTATTGAACTCTAATAAAATGAATCATGAAATTTCTGAATTTTTCAATCTATCCTTTTTTTTTATTAATCTTCTTTTCTTCATTAATCATGACCTTTTGAATTTTAATTACCTTTTAGCTTCATAGGCTAAACACTAAACATAATTTAAAATTTAAAGTTTGAGGAATTGTTAGAAATACTTTAAAATTTTAATGATCGGTGAGTATGTCATTGACAAAATTAAACAACTTTGCCTAGTGACAATTTGCTAACTATATTAGTAGTATGTTGACAATACAGCCAGTTATTGTACGTCCTTATGGACACAAAAACTCAAACTCCCTGTTTTATTCACAATAAAAAAGGGGGATAAAAGTATCGTGGGGTGCTTCGAGTAAAGGATGGGTGCTCGATTAGAATTACTACCATGCCCCATAATACCTCTACAATAAGTAGGAAAATTTGTTTCTTAGCAGTATGCACCTATCAAGTCAACTTCCACGCGGACTCAATTGGGGGGACCCAAGGAAATCATCAAGGTTAATTCCTGATGAATTTGTCATAATAGGCCAGCTGACCTATTTTCATCCTCACTCATCACCCTACACTGCTGCCCTGTCAACGTATATCGATAGCGCAGACAATAAATATACCATTCCATTATCATCCACGTAAAAAAAAAAGAAGAACGTTACATATTATTATTATAAGGTATATTAATATATCGACCCAATTTGATTTTTTTAAGTTACTTCTGAAATTTATGATTTTGATAAAAAATAAAGTGTTATTATTATAAGAGACGGAGGTTCTCTACTATAAACAATTAAGAGGAATCTTAATAGGCAAAACAGTAATGGATTCACAGATTCAATAAACAAATCAGATTTATGTGTAAATCGATTGCTCTTTTTCGCCACATTGCCTACCTGTATTTAACAATTGGTCTAAGTTTTTAAAACACGGCAAATTATGGCAAAATAGGTATCTACTATTGCTATATATGTATAATACCTAAATTCTGTTACACTTCATTCCTGTCAAATGAACTTTTACGTTTTAAAAAAATAGAAAAAAGGTACAAAAAATCTATATAATTTTTTTGTCCTTTGTTCTTTCGAACTTATTAATTTAGACATGTATCGATTGGCCTAAACTGTATGAATAATAATTATTTACCTAACAATACTCATATTGTATATAAGTTGTACTAGTTTATATTCCCTAATTAGAAAAAATATTTCATTATGATTTCTTTTTTATGATATTATTGATTACAGTATAAAGAATTTCTTTATATAGAATGATAACTCCTCCCCCGCAGGGTAAGAGATTGTTAGTAATGGGTTCTAATAGACCAATTGCTAGTAATATAGCATGTCAGATCCAGTCAGGTCTTTTGATGGATGATAATGGAAGGGTAACCCCGCCTGCGCTAACGATATACGCTGGCAGGCCACCAGTGGGAGATGATGCACGCACGATGCACATGCACAAGCACGATGGTTTCCTGGAGCGACCTGACAAAGTATATTGCTAGCAATGGAACTGGTAGCCCGCATTACTAACAACTTCTTCCTTCCTAACACGCAGACGGAGTTACCATTACATTATCATCCATAAAAAAATCCCTGCCCCCACTATCTGTATATGCTGGCGGGGTACTAAAAAGAGGTGATAAGTAAGAAGGAAACCATGACAAATTTACAAGGAATTAAAAACAATAAATTTTTATTGGTGGTAACGGAATGGTAACCTCACCTTCACTATCTCTATTCTATATATTCTCGTATATGCTATCGGGATACTGATGAAAGATGATAAGTGAGAATGAATATTGTTTAATTAGCCCCTTATGACGAATTTAACAAAAATTTATCACGACGGTTTCCATGTTATACTGATAGGATATTAAGTCAATCTTGGGGAGAAGGGATTTTTATTAATTAACCATCACTTTTTTAGGTTTAAACGGATTTAGATCCCGTGATATATTTGGTAACTATCTATCACGTTTGTAATAGCTGTTTTTTTTTAAGAGTAGTATCTTAAATTATGTAGGCCAAGAATGCAGATGTCTTAAGTATTTCTACAGTGTCAACGGTATTGACTTTACCTTCAACTTTAACTGAGTTATACAGTACTAGTACTATTACTTATACTGTGGTTAGACCACAACCAAACCGCCATCCACAACTAGATAGGTTGTAACATGTTGCAAAATACGAAATTTAGTTAAACTGTGAGCCGTGATTTAAATAATTAATTTTATTTTCTTTGTTTATACAGTAAGTGTCTATTTGCTCGATATAACTTGAATTAATTTGACTTTAATTATGCCACAAATCCAAATCCAACGAATCTATGAAACGGAACAATTATTTCTCCAAATATGAAAACAATGGCGCCGATTCTGATGTGCCGTTTCTCTAAACATATTTTATTTTTAAATTTTGCAAAATTACTGTTTTATGTACCATCCATCATAAACTAAAATTATAAAAATATTTACTTAAATCTATTTATTAGGATATTATTTCATATTGGTCCTTACAAAGATTTTACTGTGGTATCAAATTGAATTTTTATTTTTAGTGATCAGTTTCAATAGCGCTTCCGAATCGACCTCAATATTTGAATCTTCCCCTTCGTATTTATTAACATAGAATTAAGATCACGTGACTTCGCAGTTATTAAAAAAAAAGGCGTTTCGACTCGTAGAAACATAAAGCACAGTGTAAAAATAATGATGGGATGAAATTTATTTAGACTGTGCAATGTTTTTTAATGGATGATAATGGAATGGTAACCCCGCCTGCGCTATCAGTATACACTAGCGGGACACCAGTAAGATGACAGGTGAGAATGAAAAAACAGGTCAATTAGCCCGTCGTGATGAATTCACTTGGAATTCAGCACGATGGTTTCCAGGGAGGACCACGTGAAGGTCGACCTTTTTGGGCATATTGCTAACAATGAGACTGGTAGCACGCATTATTAACACCCCCTCCCCCCCGACTGTGCAATGTTGTAATCGAGAACAAAGAAAATAAGATTTTTTATTAGTATTAAACGCCTATAAATCTATACTTATAATAAATCTGTAGAGATGTCAATTCTGTAGATGAAATATATTTCCAAAATAACTATCAGGGGGTGATTAGTGATCGATACTGATACCAAAAATGCAATCAGTAAAATTATTGTCTGTTTGTCTGTATGTTCGTTATAGAAAAAAAACTACTTGACGGATTTTAACGAAACTTGGTACAATTATTCTTCATACTCCTGGGCAGGTTATAGTATACTTCATCTATATATCATCACGCTACGATCAATAGGAGCAAAACAGTAAAGGGAAATGTTGGGAAAACGGGAGAAGTTACTCCATTCCAAGCTTCCGTTGCGTGTGTAGCCTTAATGGCCACTTTTTAAATTGTAAAAATGTCCACCAATCAAGTGCTAAATTTTAATGCATGCAAATTTAACATGAATTATTGTATAAATGTACATAATAATTATGACTATACTGCCTGATACTGTGTTAGGTACCTACATAAACACAGCTTAATTACCTCACACAACTGAACCCACTTTCACAAGTCACTATATTATAAATTTTCAAAAGAGTGTAAAGGATTTACAACTCCGCAACTTTAATCTAAAATATAGATATAAATTAAAAAGTTTTATGATGATTATCTAAGTTTTGAATTCTACTTCTAAAACTTCTTAGCATTTTACAATAATTATTATTAATATGAAAATATTAATGATACCGATTGTCTGGTAATTGAGATTGTACCAATGTAATTGGTACAAAAGAAAAAGGAGGTTTTCTTTTATAACTTAAATAGGGTCGGTAATACCTACAAGGGTTTGTGTCTTCAAGGTCCAAAGTGACAAACGGACTATACCTACGTTTTTCTAAGTACCTATAAATTAGTGTAAGTTGTACAAAGATTTATGTTTTAATAGTATTCACGTTTTCTTGACAAATTTGGTATGAATTCTGAATTTCCGCTAATGGCTCAGTAAATTTTTCAATTTAAATTATAATATATGTAGTAGTAGGTACCTAAAATTTTAATCAGGTTTTTTACTTACAAGTACGATAAACAATACTTAATTTCCTTGGCTTTACATATTTATAATTTTAATGCACTTCTGAAATTATGAATCGGATGATGACCTTTGAAATAATCCTTTTATCAAAACTTGTATAACAACATTTATTTATCATTTATGTTGGTTAATCACTGTAATTTTCTATATAATTGCAAAACAGGAGACTAGTATTAGAAAAGTTTTACTGTATAGTAATCCAATGTTACCCTATTGAGATAAATCAGAACTAAGCTACTGTAGATTATTAGCTATCTACAGTATTTACACCATTCTAAGCGAAAATTTATACGCAGACGATGGACAATTTGTCTGCAAAGAAAATTTCCCGATGAGAAATTGTCTTAGGTATTGTCTTCATTTTAGTCCGGTAAAAATAAAACATTTATTATTGCATATTACCCACTACGCACATGTTTACACAACACAACTACACGATTTATACAAAGAAATTTTGTTGTCGTTTATTCTTTTTATAAAACTACAAATTAAACTTCATATTGTAATGATCAAATCAAAATATAGTTGCATAAGTAAAAACTTCGCCCTAAATTATTACTGATGTATACCGACATGTTCAGATTTGATAAATATATAAATTGACTTTAACGAAAACAACGAAAACTTTCAGATGCCTTTAGTCTAAGTGCAAAAAATAAAACTGAGGGAGGAAAAAAAAACAAAATTGCGCAACAAGAATATCGCTGATACGTCAAGAAATATTTAATAGATTCGGAAAAAATCTAATATCTTGAATTAACTAGATTAATTAATCCAGACTTACCTATTCTGAAATATCGTAAATCCGAAATATCCGGAAAAGTCTAAATCCACAGAATGTGCTTTCAAATAAGTTCCTTCACCCTTGTACTGTATCCGTTTGAACTTACACAAAATTTTATTTTTCTACTGAAATAAAATTAAGCGGGACTTTAAACATTATTCTAAGTAAATTTGTATTTGCAAGTCTATGTTTTGTTTATGAAACTATTTGGACGATTGATTTAGTTGCGTTGGAAAATTATGTTACAGATCAGTGCCTTCTACAATAATGTATATTTATGTCGGTGATGATTATGAAAAATATTATGTACCTGAACGACGTGCTACTCCAGGCAGGATTACCGCAAGATTGAGTGCGCTTGCGCAGTTTCATAAGTGAAGCACCGCCACCACCGGCGTAACCGACGTCGTGAATGAATTTAATGAGTTGAATTAATTAAACGTATCCCTCCATTATATGATAACACAACGGAATTTGTAAAATTTCAGTGAACCTTTTTATTCTGTTAACCCTGTCTATGGTTTCGTTAAGTTACGACATTGTGCGTTGGTCACAAATGGCCACTTGAAATGTTACCCTAAAACGACTAATATTTACAAGTCATGTATAGTTTTATTAGAAAAATGAATGCTATCGATAGTTCACATTACTAACAATACTTCCCCTTCCCCCTTTTACCATTTAAAATGGCAAGGCAGTAAAATAACAGGGTACAGAAATGGAAAAAGAAAAATGGTCAATTTGTTGTCTAAAATCATACAGCAGTTAATTTATCATACAAAATAATTGGCTAGTATCATGATACAATACCTATCATTTTATTTCACGAGCTATTAAGTTGCAAGAAGCAGTGGAAGGGTTTGGGAAAGACTATGTTTAATATGTTGAAAAGGTTAGTGATCGCTGTGGACCTGAAAATCACGGGGACAGTCCACCCGTGAACTCCCACAGGTATAAGGAATTGGCATCGGATTTGTTAAAACTATTTAAAAAAGCTATCCTAAAACAGTGCTTGTCTTGTAGGACATAGCATTGGAGGAAGAACCTGCATGTGCTTGGCGATGTGGGCTATTCAATTAATTTGGTAATACGCTCATAACTTTAATATGTCTACTATTACCATTTATGAACACAAACAATCCATTTGAATGCATTTCACGATGGATTGAATTCTTATATATGTATTATAATTAAGTTAGGGGTCGTCTTTTTGTCGTATTAATTTTAGCGTATGATGGTATAGGTACGAGATCAGAGAGTTTGTCGGAAATTAAAATTTTCGGGAAATTTCAGAACAATAATGCTGTCCATATGTGTAGGTACTTACAATATGGGTTTATTTTGGTTTTTTGAGTTTATTAAATAACATCTATTTTTTTAAAGCCACAACAAGTATACGCTCTAGTCGTCGTCGACTCATGACCAATTTCGACTACATCACAATTAACGGATTTATATCCGAAAATTTTGGCTAAAATGAAAGCCGTGAACTTCGAGCATTTAAAAACAGTCAACAAAGCAAGAAAAGTTGCCAAAACAGTTGAAGCAAACAATTACCGATGACACCACTTTATATGTATGTAATATTGTCTACGAGTAATATCAACATTAAAACTGTCGGTACCATAGGTTGGACATGTAATTTAGATGGTCTAATTAAAAATTTTATACATATCACAGTATTTCCAAAAAGTATGAAGACAAAGAAATATAGAGGTCCAACATTATTCATAGGAGATCAGTTATCTGAATATATACCGTAAGATCTGAATATATACCAGAGGGAGACTTTGTACAAAAGTCGTTTGCTTGTGCACCTCTGTCCCATTCGTAAATTTAATAAATTCGTAAATATTTAATAGAATACTCTAGAACACCACTAAATACAAAGAAGGATTATTTATTTAATTTATTTAAACTTTAATGCTCAGTAAAATTCTATGTACATTTGGCGGATTTAACACCGAACGATGTTCTCTACCAGTTAACCATTGGGCAAACCGAAAAATACGTAGGCGGTGCATTTTTGAATAAAGGAAAAATAAAGCAATACTTGATAAATTTATATAATATAAACATACACATAATATATTAAATAAATATATACGTACAATAAATACATACATAAAGAAATGCATAGAATATTACTATATAAAACAATTAAATAAAACAACTGCAATAAAAGAGCAAATAGGAATCTATGACTCAAACAGAGTAACCAGCAGGAGAAGCTTAAAGGAAAAGTGATTTTTCTCAGATTATGCCAGTAGACCAAGCAATACAAAGGTAACTACAAAGACAGTAATCGCTATTCCTTAAAGATAGGTAAGTACAAACCCCCTGGTTGTAAAGCTTAACACCAGTTATGGGGGTACCCGGCGAAGTAAAATTCAAGGAAAGTGCGGAAGTCAAGAAAAGCTGCCAAGAAATAAGATACAAGAGAGGCTCTAAGATTAAGAAATAAAGGATCGCAGTAAATTCGACTTTGAAGAAGCAGCATACGACTATTTTTCGTCAAACAGGGCAGCGGTCGGGCGCTGTTCGGCACTTTATTCCAGGGCACTTTAATAAAAGTTGATGACCTTTTAATCAAAGACGGGAAGGTGGGGGGAAGAAGAGCTCCATTAATTAAAAAACTTTTCCAGACGCGCCAGGTATTTTTAATTTTGTCTATGGCGAAAAATGGATACGATGACATTGATGAAATTGTGGTTCGTTGTACCAAATAAGTATAGATACCAAATCTCGCTTTGGACACCTAAGCGAGATTTAGTATGTATAATATAATATAGTATTTTAATTTATTATTATATACATTTGTATATTTATACTAATATTATAAAAAGGTAAAGTTTGTGAGTTTAGATGTTCGGGGTAATCTCTAGTACTATTAATCCGATTTTGAAAATTCTTTCACTATTAGAAAGGTGAATTTGGCCGCGTAGAGGTCGACTTGACAAGGTATATTGATAGCAATGGGGACTAACCTCCCCATTACTAACAATCCCTTACCCCCTAACGTAAGTACGTTTTTTTATAGGTGAAAATGGAATGGCAACCCCGCCTACGTTAACGGGATACGCTGGTGAAGCACCAGTGACGGGTGTTCGGTGACAATGAAAACAGGTCAGTTAGCCCATCGTGACGAATTCGCAAGGAATTAACCATGATAGTTTCCAGGGAGAACCGCGAGGAGGTCGACCTGGCTGGGTATATTGCTAGCAATGGGATTCTCAGTCTTCATCACTAACAATCCCTTTCCTCCCACGTAAGTAGTTTATACGACGTCTATGGTAAATGGCGAATTCTAAGAACAAGGAATTGCATAGGAGTGATAAAATTGTCAATTCATAGGAGGCTAGTGTATAGAAAATGTTATACGGTCTTATAACCCTACCAAATTCAGATACAACCTGCTTGCATACTTTTTACATAAACTGTATCGAATATATAATCTAGTAATGTAAACTTTATCATTGACAAATAATTGACATAACAACCATTTTCTATACACTAGCCTGCTATGAATTGAGAAAAAAGACAACTGATAATGTATCTTTCGTCCTCTTTTTACAAATTATATTTGCATAAAAAGAAAGAAGGCAACCATATGATTTACAGTTTTTATTTTATCATCCCTTCTATGTAATTCCTTGTTCTTAGGGCGAATTGTTTTAATCTTAAATTAGAAAATATAAGTAGTTATATTTAATATAACTACTTATATTTTCTAATTCTTCTATGGTTTTAACAAAAGAGTTTTCTATTTTACAAGTGACAACGTTATAGAATTGTTGATTGTAATTTTATATAAAATGTTAGATTACGTATTGCATTGGATGACGTATGTAAACGTATGTGTACTTGTTGACAATCAGTTTAGTTTACTAGGAATGGAATGGGTACGTTTTACTTTCGAAATTGTTACTTTTCATCTATGAAATATTTCTATAATACCAATCATATGAGTAAAAGGTCAGCTGTTGATTTAGCTCATATAATCCACGGAAAAAAACCTATGAAAGATACACCGATATTTACACTTCATGGATTATTGGGCGCTAAGAAAAATTGGGAGAGTATGTCAAAGAAAATAGCTTCAAAGATGCAAAGATCTGTGATAGCTGTAGACGCTCGGAATCACGGAGAAAGTCCCCACGATCCTTCCCATTCTTATCTAGACTTGGCCTCTGATGTAGTTCAATTGATGAATAAATTGTCAGTAAAGCACGTAGATATTATTGGACACAGCATGGGCGGAAGAACTGCAATGGTGATTGCATTAACTGAGGTTCCGTTATTTTATTTTCTTTACCTAAGTACCTAGTATACATGATACTGATGACCTGAAAAACGTTCGTTTGCCTCCTACTGTCACATATCCTTTATTCTTATCTTGATAAAAACTATATACAGGTATAGGAGGCAGAGTGGCCGAAATGAAACAGCTGATTCAGACGAATGGTCTGAATCAGATGGTAGATTATTTTCCCGCCAAAAATGCACCACAGCCGTATGATTAACGATTTTTAGTTTTGACGCTGCGCAATGTATTCAAAATTTTATTATATGTCGTACTGTGTTCCATGAGACGCGGGATATCTATACTGTGCGCTTAATGGCGCTTCTTTGTAGGTAGTTATCGTATGCTTGTGGCTCTCTCGTTCTTTAGAGAGAGAGAGAGATACTCTCAAGTAAATTTAATTAAAATCGGTTGTACCATTTCGATCATTATACCATTTCGTTTCATTTCATTAGCTCGAATGAATAGAGTGACATGAGAATTTTATATTTCTATTAAGATAAGCATTATAATATTTTTTTTTTTTTATTTTTTATTTAACACTTTATTGCACCAACATTACAGGATTTGTTGAAGAATGTTTTCATAATGGTAGTTTAGTAAATAAAAAAAATACTAACTTTTATACTTCTTAAATTATAATCATATGATTATTATTAATTGGACATATATCGATATATATTTCCAATTCTATATTAATTATGTCGCAATCGAAGGAGTTATTTGAAGTTAGTATCGAAGAATTAAAATGTACATTTATATACAATATTCTCATTATTAGATGTACTACATATCTGTATGTATTTAAAAATAGACAACATTTCATTGTATCTCGACCAAACTATTTATAATTATAATTTACTTCTTTTCAATGCGTCCAAAGGTTGCCTGAAAGAGATTGCTTTTAGCGATAAGGGTGCCCATTGTTTTCTCTGCGTGACTTTTCTTGTATTTTTACTTACTTTACTTCTGTAATCTTTGCCATAAACAGTATTTATCTATCTATTTTTACGGACCAAAATCAACTTGTGTTTTGAATTTATTTGATGTCTATTTGTAATTTCAGCCATCCAAAGTATCACATTTGATCATAGTTGATATATCTCCAGTGCCAACTACTGCTATTTTAAATAATTTTTTTCCGAAACTCCTTGATTTTATGAAAACTATAAAATTCCATGAATTTAAAAATTTAGTTGAAGCAAGATCTGAAGTTAAGAAAGAACTGATAACTTCAGGGGTAATTGAAGATGAAGCTATGTCTAATTTCATTATTATGAACATTGGCACCAAAACAGACAAGTCTATTGGTTGGAATTGTAATGTAGTTGCTTTAAAAGAAAACTTCAAACATATTGCAACGTTCCCTAGCGAAGTGACAGGAAAGCAATATTCAGGACCAACTTTGTTTATTGGTGGAAAAGAGTCTAGTTACATTCCGTAAGTATATTTCTAGTCGGCGGGCGGCGGTAGTCACTTACCATCAGGTGAGCTGTATGCTCGTTTGCCCCCTGTGTTGTAAAAAAAAAAGTCATAACTTATAATAGTACCATCAGGTGAGTTGTATGACTCGTTTGCCCCAGTGTTTCTGTGTTGTAAAAAAAAAATATCTATATATATTTTGTGACATTATAATATTACTACTTGTATATCAGAATTTTTAGGGAGCCTTTGTACAAAAGTTGTTTGATTGGGTACTTCTGACCTACTTGTGTTTCTGCTGTAAAGCAGATGTACTTAAATGACAGTGTTTCGGTATAGAGGCAACCCTTAGAGGCACCTTAGTCCACAAGAATGAAAAGTATATGCATAACTATATATTTTGTGATGACCATGGTGTTTTTCATGCCTTTAAACGATGATTACCACTTTTCATTAGGTCTTTAACGGTCAGACAGGTGCTTTGCTTCCATCATTCTAAACGACAAAATGAAAAAAATTTGCCTATATTTCTATGGTTTTTGAGTAAAAATATTGTACCGAACACCCCCTGCGCCGGATTTATTTTTTGTTCCCAAAAACCAAATCGAATGTTTGTCTTCGAGTTATGTGTTGTGTTTCAAGTTAGATGTTCGTTTTCCATAAAAAAGGTATCTTGGATGAGATATGAATTTTATTGTTTCCTTCTATCTCAAATGAGCGACTGATCTGACTTATAAGTATATAGCATATATATATATACTATTAAGGTGAGCATCAAATAGATTTGTGACCAGTACCAGGTGACTCGTTATTAGGACCATTTGTCATCGCAGTCTCTGCTAGGAATAAAATATGTAATATGTAAAATTATATATAAAATAAAAATAATGACATCCTGATATTTTTAGACCTGAACACATTAATACCATACGAAAATATTTTCCAAAGGCCGAGTTGAAATATGTCCCAGGAGTAGGACATAACGTACACGCAGAAGACCCTACTACATTTTTTAATTTGGTTGTACAATTTCTCTCTAAATAAATATGAATTATTTCACTAAAGTTAATGTTAAGTTAATGTTCGAGATTGCATTTTGAGTTGGATAATTAAAAGTTCGTATCACAAAAGAAAACTGACATCAATTGTGACAAAACGAGGTATTTTGATCTAAAAACTAAATCACTTAATCAATTTGGATAAAAGGTCTACGAAACCAACGTGTAAACATTCCTTTTAGATAGAAAAAGAATTTTCCAAATCATTTTAGAATTGACGGAGTTACGAAATAATAAACATAAAAAACTCGAATTGAAAACTTCCCTCTTTTTTAAGTCGGTAAAAAACCCTTATAATATGGTATATAGAGCAATTTTGAACAATGCTGAAGTACCGTTGCTGAAATATTGCTTTGCGTCAACCGAACGGACGCTCAGACGATTGAAGTAATATTAGATATACTACTTTGTCCAACTGTAGCAGAAAACTAACGATGTTGAAATGATAACAAATGAAGACCTTTCGCAAATTATCAGCATCACATGGACTAGTTAGCAGGATTATTTTAAAATTTCACTCCCCTTTGGTTGACTTACGGATTTCTACAAAGAGCCACAATTTTATTTTATTAGTGCTACAAAGTCTGTTCGCGAATGTTTTAAACAATCAAACGTTCTCACACTCGCCTTACAATAATATAAAGTTTTATTATACTCAATGTATATATTAAAAATACAGTAAACAATTATAAGTAATGCAGTAAAGAATAAATTGTTACCACTAAGTCATATGGTTCTGCAAAGTCATGTTCACGGAAAAGAATAAGTAATTCGTTCTTAGGAAATTGTGTATATATATATATATATATATATATATATATATATATATATATATATATATATATATATATATATATATATATATATATATATATATATATATATTATAACCCATTACTAGCAATATACCTATCAGATTGACCTCCTGGAATCGATCGTGTTAAATTCTTTATGAATTCGTAACTATGGGCGAACTCTCCTGGTTTCATTCTTACCTCATCATACATCACTGATGACCTGCCAGCGTGTAACGATAGTGCAGACGGGTCGATCATTTCATTTTCATTAAAAACTACAAACTGGTCTTCAGAAATAGCAACACATGAAAAATATCATGGGTAACACAGTATATTGTTATGTCCATGATTTTTTTTATTTCTATAGGCATCGATTATCATTTTCCATCAGGTGGGCCGTCGACTCGTTTACAATTCTCAGTTGTATAAAAAAATATTCGTACGAACTACATAATCCGGGGTCCTATCAATTTCACTTTGTATATAAACAAGCACCCAGGAGTAATTCATCTGACATCGTATATTCATTTATAAGATAAAATGGTATAGTACATTACTGCAGCGGCCAGCAACTGAGGCATTGATGGACAAACGTGTAAATGTGGACCGAGGCGTAGCCGAAGCACACATACGTGAGTCCATCAATGCCTAGTCGTGGCCAAGGCTTGTATATAGTACTTTTCTCAAGCAATGCGCGGAAATCAAAAACACAATTTTACTTTTTAAGTTCAATGACGAATAACGAACAATAATAATTTTTTACGCGCCATAATGTTCCTTTGTTTTTTTTTTTTCAATAAACAGCTTTCTATTTGCAAGCCAGTTCAAAATTTAAATAAAACCTTTAAGAAAAAATAATTTAATCTATTTTATAGGTAATAAATTTTTTAAACCTCAAACATCTACAAACCTTATACAAACATTGATCGTTTACAAAGTCATAAGAAATATTCGTTTTTGTTACTAACTATATGTCAACCAAAAGCGTGTCAAGCAGTCAGTATTCAGTCATTCATATGAATTAATCACATTCTTTAGACATAGTCTCTGTGTTCACCTTCGACCATAAATTGAAATCATAATATTTAGCTACTTACTAAAAAATTTCTATTTATATTTCTTTTAATTGCCAAAAATATTTATTTCAATATAGAAAGAAAATGCTTGTCACTAAATTATGTACCAAAAATGTGTTCAACATAAACAGCGGCAAAATTATTCCAAATGTCATAAAAAGAAGTTACACATCCAATTTAGATAGTTCAGACACAGTAGATCTCGCTTACGCTTCGTATGAGAGCACTTCTGACTACGAGAACTCATCCCGGCCGCCTTTAGTGATTTTACATGGGCTCTTGGGTTCAAAAAATAATTGGAACAGTATGAGTAAAGCAATACACAGAACGACTGGGAGAAAAGTCATCAGCGTGGACGCTAGGAACCATGGAGACAGCAGACATGCATCTCAGCACACCTATATACACATGGCACATGACATAATGAAACTGTTGAAGAAACTGGAGTTATCGAAGATCTCCATTCTGGGTCACAGTATGGGTGGTCGCACTGCCATGGTGCTGTCTCTACTATGTGTAAGTTGTACGTAGTTTTTTGTACAAAATTATTTTTTAAAACAGTGTCAATCCTAACTTATAAAATATTAGCTGTGAATATTTATATAACAATCATCATGTTTAAAATAATGAAAATTAAGATTTGCAGATAACATGTTTGTAGTATAACACTATAAATATGATGAACCATTATATTTACTGTAATTATGTATTTATATGTTAATGAAATCTAAACTTTTAGCCTGACCTCATATCAAGCATGATTGTGGTTGATATATCACCAGTGAAGACAAGTCCACAGATTTTCTCTATGGCAAACTTATTTGATGCAATGAGCTCTGTCTCAATAACATCTGGAATAGCAATGTCCAAAGCAAGAAAACTAGCTGATGAGCAGTTGAAAGCTATTACTTCTGATGTGAATTTGAGGAATTTTTTAATTACTAATCTAATTCAGACAAACACTGGTGCATATACATGGAGAGTGAACCTGCCAGTTCTAAAAGACAACTTCCAGTCACATATATCTTGCTTTCCATCAAATCTAAGAGGCCTACAATATTGTGGACCAACTTTATTCATAGGTGGTTCATTATCAGATTATATTGGGTAAGAATTACAATAATTCATTTATTTTTAGTTTGAATTTAATTATATATATACCATAAATAACAAAAATCATTTTGACTATTATAAAGAAATTATGTTTATTATTAATATTGTAACTTTTTAGTATCAATCAATTGATACATATGATATCAATTTAATAATATTAATATTTGAATAAGATGAAAATTATTCAGTATTAATAATACCTACACTTTTTTTACAGCAAAAATGACTTACGTGAGATCCAAGAATACTTCCCATTAGCTGAATTAATCTTTATAGAAGGTGCAGGTCATTGGGTGCACAGTCAAAAGCCTGAGAAGTTCCTTGAAGTAGTTTGTAAATTTTTAGAAGAAAAATAATTTTGCCATTAATATAAATTAATGTAAAATAAATTTTGTATTAGATAAATTTGTGATTTTTAAATAGTCATTGTTAATGTGCAATTTTTTGTTGTTCATTTTCTGTTATATACAAATATATTATAGTGATGTTAAATAAAAAAATACTATTGTAGTTATTGTTATTTATGCTATTAACATTTTTATTGTCGTGTGAATTAATTTTACATGAGCAAAAAGGATTTGCAGACAAAAAAGTTTAAAATCCACTAATGTAACTACCATAAATGCATAATGTTGCATTATACCTACAAAACACGAATTAAATTGTTGTATTGTTTTCTTTGATGGGTGAAAATAGACTTGGCCTACACTATCGGTATACGGTAGCGAAGTACCAATTAAAAAACAGCTGATAGCGGTATATTGTTAGCAATAGACACTAATACTAATGGTTCCCTTCCTTCTGTTTCTGAAAGTCTAATTAAAAAACTACTTTCACATTTACGCCTTCGAAGTTGCGGATAAAAGCTAGTTTATCAATGTAAATTTAAATGAATCTTTTATAGACAATACATCAAGTTGTTTCAAGTAATAATACGATACTTCATCAAGTATTTTGATACGAGATTGAACCTATGATCACGTCTTTATGAAAACGTTCTCTATGAGACTTCTAGTCCACAATCGGATTGTTCTGATATGTTCAGATTATTTTGTACTAATATTTTCAAGGGCAGTAAATCGAAGGAAGTTGTCAAATACAAATAAAATCCTATTAGTATAATAAATGCGGAAATTTGTAACGATGGACGTCTGGATGAATAAGTATTTGTTACTCTTTCACGCAAAAACTACTGAATGGATTTAACTAAAGTTTGGTACAGAGGTAGGTAATATCCTAACTTAGCACCCTATGTACTGATCCAAACAGCAGAAGCCGCGAAATTCAACTATATTTTTAATTTTACTAAGTTCTGTAAATAAATGCCTAAAAACGAAGCACTGTCAATATTATAGTATCGTCTGCCTCCCCAATGACCGGAGGCCGGGGTCGCATACTCGTATGCCCTTATTCTAGAATCGGACAGATTTCTAGAGAAGAACGCCCCTGACGCTAACACTATATATGGCAACCTTTTTTATGATATATTAGTATAATTATCTTTTATATTATTTGAATGATTAATCTAAAAATATAAGTAAATAAAACAAGAAATTTTAATTAAATCAGATGGACTAATAACTGTTCAAATATAAAAGTAGTTCAGCCCACCTAACTACAACTAAATTTATTTCGAAATTTTAGAGTCAAACGATACAAAAAATTAAAAATACTAATGAAATTTCAATTGTATTGACTTTAAAAGTAGTTTACATTTATAAATAACAAATAAAACACCACTCTCCATGAAAGGGACCGATTTTGTTATGTCCATGATATTGTTCATGTCTATAGGAGACTAACTACTTCCCATCAGGTGGCCGTCAGCTTATTTGCCATTCTAAATTGCACAAAAAAAATATTACCGAATTTTATCGCATGTATGGAATTTGAGCCCGAAACTTCGGAATTAAATTTCACACATTGTAAATTATCTGTGATAGAGGTAGAATATTCAAAAGTGAAGGAAAGAATCAAACTAACTTAATTGTTGTAAATTAGATTTTATTTTGAATATTGAATTTTAAATAAAATACAATCTAGCTTTTCTGCATTCAATAAAATTTAATTTACCAAGATTGTTGTATTTTTAATTGAAATAAAATGAATTGTACTGTGTAATAACATACTTAGGTACACAGCCTGATCGATAATAAATAAATTAAATAACTTTTTACAAAAATTGTATGAATTTGTACATATTGTATGAGTTTATACATATAAACAAAATATATATAAATATCCCATTAAAAAATAATTCCTATGATCCAGATATTCCTGAGAACCAGCTAGATGATCTACTTACTGTCATTGTGTGTATACACTAGGGGACGCCTAAACCCACAGTTATTCAAGTACTGTTATTCTGTTGTATTGATGCACAGGTTGGTAAAATAATTAAAATAGTTGCTATACTTAAAACCTCTCTTAATATTTTATATCTTTTAAGACAAAGGTTTCCAAAGTTAGTTCGCCTTCAGATTAAATCAGTCAGACCTGCTTAAATAACATGTCCTAGATGCAGGTGTGAATCCAATTTTAATGTTTATTTGGACCATTCATCCCTTGCCCCATCTATACCCCTAATAAAGAGCGCATCTTGCACTTTGAAAACCCCTGTACTAAGAGCCCTTACTTTAGTTACAAATAAACAGGTACTAAGAGACTAACATCACTCTTTTTATACTTTAAGTATGTTAACTGACTTAAATTTTCCATTAAATACGCACATGACTCTCATAGAATAAATTATTACAGATGAGACACAAGAAATGGTGGTACATTTCTTGTGTCATGTGTGATACAGAACTTTACAGAAACATTCCCATCCAAGTTTTTGAATTCACAAGCATTTACCCAACCACATGAGGCAGCTGCTGTCTTTCCCCATGGGGCTCTAATAAGATACAAATATTTAATTAAATAGACTGTTAACAATGGTTAGGTACTTATATATTGAACATAATAAGCTAAATACTTATACTGAGAGGACTTTTTTAACAATTTTGGGTCAAATATAAAAACATTATTTCCTTATCTTTATAATAACAAAATAATATGTCAAATTATCATAAAATCAGTCAATTTTTTATTTAAAAATAATGTTTATAAATACAATTGTTACTGAGATTTGCAATATTTATACAATATACTTAAGTTAGTTGTTAGAATTTTCAAAAAAATTATTTACTTAAACCATCTTTTTCTTTGCCTCCACAACAATTATCACATTTTTTATCTGTACCCGAACAGAGAACAGGTTTATAATTAGGAGTCCAGGGCCCAAGACTGTCATTTGAATAAAAATCCATGGGATAAGTACCATCCCCCATAAGCCATTTACTATTACCTAATGTAACAGAAAATTCATATGGTGTCAGCAGTGGTTTAGAAAATGCTGTACCCCAGTCAATAGATAATCGAGGACAAGCAACTTGAACAAAAGCATCTAATTTAAACAAAGATAACTTACTGGGAAAAATTTCTGACAGCAAAATTTTAACATATTTCTTATTAGAATTTTTTATTTGTTTCTCCAAGTTAACTAGTACTTTAGTGCTGCCTTGTCTACCAAGGGTGCCTAATATAAGTCCGAAGCTACCTGAACCCTCTGCTGTTTTGATTTGATTTTGTCTATTCATTTGCATTAATTCATGTTCATACAATTCTGATGTGAACTTCTTCTCATATGGGTCATACTTATATGCAGGAATTTTTGGATTAGCTATCATGATGGACTCTAAATGAAATCTGCCATCTCCTAAATATATTATAACATCAGAATTTAATTTGGGTGCAGTACAACCTAAAATTTCCCCTGGTGATAATGGTTTGCACTGTGGGACTGTTACTATGTAATCTTCACTTCGAAGATTTTTAGCAACAGAATGTAGAGTTGTGACAAACTGTATTGTACTAACTAATGCTAAATGTGTTCTTTTAGGGAAGTTTAGATTGATTGTTTGCACAAAGTGAGAAGGATCTATTTTGATATCAACAAAAATATAGAGCACCTTCACATCACTTGTTTGATCTATGGGTATCAGGCAGGAGTGCCCATAGTGTACGAGCAGATCGACGCCAAGTGCAAGCGCAGTGTAATCATCTATGCAGCATGCTCCATACGTAACGTCGCCCATTATCACTGTGTCTGCATCCGTAAAAACCTCTATAATGTCGCATAACGTTGTTGCAAACATTGTAAGACCTGAAATTAAAATTAAAAATCTATCGTTAAATACAGAACAAAAGAAAAAATACTTTTAAACTATGAAAACTGTTCCCTTACCCTCTGGCATTTGTAACGCCACTCTTTTCGCATTCAAAGATCTTATTCTCCATATTGTTTTGTGTACTTCAAAATTATAGTTTTGTGGTAATGATTCACAAGCTCTATTCAATAATGGATCATTCAACAACTCATCAGGAATTTTATTTACTGGACGTATATTGGGCTTGAAAGTTTTCCTTTGTCCTTCGGGTTTTGCGCGAACTACAACTACGCCTGGATTTAAAGCAAAGTCTTCCATTTGTTTATTCACAAAACATACATTACGAAGTAAAAAATGTAGTTTCTAAATAATTCCGCAGGTTATTTTTAAAAAACAATCAACACGCGCGCAGTATTCAAGTCTGGCCTACGTGACTTTTGCAATAAATAACATTCCGTTACGTGTGTAAGTTTGCAAATTTAGGTTAAAGCTTTGAATTGTTATAATAAATTATTTGTCTATTAAAAAAAAAGCAATAAATTATATTTATATTTAGGAATTGAAAAAAGATATATTCTGGATTTTTTTTATTTTATTCTATACGATAATTTCTTTTTTTCTTTATTACTTACAAAACTATGAAACATTTTCATCGTATAATGGAAAGGATATTTTCAGCATAATGATACCTGATAGTGTCAGTTGTCACTGTCAGCTATTATTGTCAATACAACATAGTGTGCTCTAATAACCTCCGTAGACGATTTCCATACAGTCCTAATTAAATACAACAATAAATCACTGTTTAAAAAACAACAAAGAAGGAAAAGTTTTTAAACCCAGAATATAATAATTTATATCATCATAGTACAAATAAAACTACTCGACCACATTTTAAATTTGTCACGAACGTCCAAACTAAGCACAATTTGTAAAATGGATATTAAACAACTGATATTATATTGACATTAGTTAAAATACTTTTTTTAAACACATACTTTTTATACTTATAGTTATCTAAAGTCTGTATAGATATCCACGAGCCAAATTAATTGACATTTTCACAAATATAAACTATACGATTACTGTGTATGTATCTCGATCGTTTCTTCCTCACTCATGTCGATTGGGAATAAACTCCCTTCTGAGACTTTCTCCGTGCTCAATAATATGAGGATCTTCAAAAAATGTAGCTACAGATTTTTAAAATATTTTATTTTCATATTTCACACATGAAATTTTTTATTTTACGGGAGTTAAGTCCACATTTCTTAATGATTAAGAATGGAGTGGTAATTTCGCCTGTGCTTACGGTATATACTGGCGAGACATTAATGAGCACTGATAGGTAAGAATGAAAAGGCTCAGGATCAGTTAGTTAATTGTGATAAATATACATTTGGAATTCAACACGATGGTTTCCAAGGGGGACTACGAAACATAGGACAGCAAGCATGAGGGGTAGTTTCATTACAAGGCATCTAAGATATGGAATACCTTCACCCTTGAAAAATTGTAATAGTAAATTATCTCTTAAATATGAATATAAAATCTATCTACTCAATGCGCAAAAGCTTGAATTACAAATATAGTGTTGTCTGTATAGTAATATGATTACCACTTTCTATTGGATAGCCGTCTGATAATTAATACATAATTTTATTTGGCTGGAATATAATATAACTAAATAATAAATTTGTGATGTATGTATGTGTATACGTAATGATAGACCGCTTATTTTACATTCACAAAGGGAATCAAAACCTATATACTTTAGGTCTACTTATACATGCATATATATTTATTGTATTTCTCCTATATTTCTGACCCGATTTGCATTAGTATTATTTATTTAAAAGGGGTTCGATTTCTGTATGTAAAAGATACAAAATAGAAAGATAATATGAAAATTATTATCTAATAATTATTTTAATAATTTATTACGGATGCTTGAAACGATTAATATTATCTTTGTCCCCAGCCTGATGGTTCAACGCGACCCTTAGATATTGATACATTGGGCAGCATGGTAGAAGCCAGTATCCTGTCCCCAAACCGGGAACTCTACAGAAGCGTGCACAACAACGGCCACAGCTTCTCTACCTATGTCCATGATCCGAGTCACCGCTATCTTGTACGGATTTATTAAAATGTGTAATTTGATTATTTTGTAAATGAAGATCGATTCTACGAATTTGTAACACGATCAGTGTCGTGGAGTCATGGCTCGGCTGACCTATTTGTCTATTTACATGCTAATTAATTAACTAGCCTTCGGCTCTATTGGAAATCTAAATCAAGTCGTTCATCGACAGAATAAAAAAAAATAGTAGCGTTCTCTTCGTTTATCAAGATATTTTATGACAAAACAATAATCTACAAAGTCTAATATAGATATACCGTTAGCGCAGGGGGGATTACTGTTCCATTATCATCCATTATTAAAAAAAACATGTAAAAAAATCTCTCCATACAACCACCTCAATATTCACATCTCAGTTGGATGAAATCATCTTTCATTCGTCACTTACTAGAATGCCTATGGGTTTTAGTCCTAATTGCAATTTTGATATGATTGTGCAACTATTTTTTTTTTTATGGGCGAAAATAGTATGGTATCCCCGCCCGCGCTAACGGGATACGCCGGCGGAGCACCAGTGAAGGGTGATAGATGATAATGAAAACAGGCCAGTTAGCCCATCATGATGAATTTATCAGAAATTAACCATGATAGTTTCCAGAGGGAACCACGAGGAGGTCGACCTGGTTGGGTATATTGTTAGCAATGAGAATTTTAGTCTCCATTACTAACAATCCCTTTCCCCCCGATTGTGCAACTATTGTATTTCTTGTTGGAAATAAACTACTCAAACCAGATAAGACCAAACAAAAGAAATTATAAATTAAAAAAGATAGTTTCAATGGTTTATACTCGTATAATGATTTTATGTGTTATTACCATCATATACAGATTGTCCCAGAAGTCGTCGTCAAGTCGAAATTAAGTAACAGGTTAAGTCATAATAGTTATCAAAAAAAATTAAGTTTTTTTAAAATTAGTCATTTAAAAAGATCGAGAAAATCTTCACATGTGACGGTCTTTTCATTAGTTTCTATAGATATGTACTTTTATAATATTTGTTTTTTGTTTTGTAATCCCCAATACTTCTTTAAACTCTGGCCTAAAATTTAGTAAACTGCAACCAAAAAATGATTACTTAGTTCCTCTTTAAGTGTCTATATTGAAAAAATTAAAATTTTCACCACCGTACAACCATCACAAACTAAAGTTTCATCCCAACCATCTGGACAAGTGGCGTTTTTTATAGCACTCTTCCACGCACAATCATACTTTGGAAGTGACTTCCAGTAGCAGTATTTCAGAACTGATACATCATAACCTCTAAGAGGATATTCCTTTTTAAAAGGCCGACAGCACACCTGCCACCTCAGTCCTCAAGGGCCGCGGTAGTCACTTACCATCAGGTTGCCGCATGCAGTTATAAAAAAAAAATTAGACAACTTTGGAAAGTAACTTCAAAACTCGGCACATTTAATAAGGATTTAAAAATGGTCGACAATTACTAATTTATTTCTTATATTGCAGACATTTTTTTTTTTCCAGTAAAAACCACTTCTGTGCAAATTTTTCATACTTCCTTACAAATGATTCTAATGTTCCCGTGGCTTTCCTTAATGTCGTAAGTTTTAATTGGACTTATTAAACTCTAATTGGAGTGAAACAAACAGACACACTTTAGGAAGTGTGAGTGAGACAAATAATGATGCTATTAAATTATTAAATTAAACATCTTTATTAAATACACAACAATTGTTTAACATCAATTATTTGAAATATAATACAGTGTTCAATCTGCATTCCTTCAACTGCAATGTAAGCTCCGCTTCTTAAAAAAGATCGGGTTGTCTGACAAGAGAATCTTCCGTTAACCAATTCAACTGCTTCCATTCATCTTTACCATAGCTCAGCTAAACTTTCAATTGGCTTTAAACAAACTTTTTCTTCATGGTCCCCCAGTAAAAAAATCTAATGGATTTAAGTTGGGGAAAGTAGTACAATCTTATGGTCAGTCCGACCATAAGATTGTACTAGACCATCCCATCCATCTGCCCGGGTATTCCTCATCAACATATTCTCTAACTGAGACGGCATACTGTGCTGTTAGAACAATATTTCACTGTGAATCATTTAATATTCCAGTCCACAGGTTCACTTTAATAAAATACTGTGATCTGTCTTACTCACAAATTACAGTTATCATCCTATTTTTGTTCCCCATGAAAACTGAAAAAGCAAAAGAAATACTTATTATAATAAATACAAAAATTAAACTATTTATATCTTACAATAAATAAATCAGGCCTATCATTTAGTATCATGTTGTTATCAAAATAACACATATTCGGCTCGTATAAAATCTCATCATAAAGTTAAATTTATTATAAAGAATTAATAACAAGGAATTATTAATTGTGTATATCACCTTATTATACAGCATCACAGATCAGTTATTCCCTGCAAAAAAAAAGATATCATATTTTAGACACCGTTTTGAATGACTAATAATTTTATATCATTTTCTTTTTTCAGCCCTATCATTTAATATCATGTGTTAATCATAATAACACATTTCGGCTCGTGTTTTTTGTCATCATAACAATTATGCAAAAAGTGGATAAGGAGGACGTAAATCGATAATTTACAGATACGATATTAACTGACCTAACCAAACATCCTTATCTTACCACTTGTAATTTTAAAGCTTATCACAAAAGTAAATAGCAAATCGAAGAAAAGGTATCTTATCTAAGTAATAATAGATATGTAATTATCGTATTCATTTCAGCTTACACAAATACAAAGAACTTTGGTGTAACACGTGAAAAACACATGGAATAAAAGCAATAAATTAACATTAATAGTAACCTATAAAGACAACAAAATTATGCTTTACATTAAGTAGATATTGATGAAAATAATTAGCGATAAATACATTTGGATTTAAAATAATTAATTTCAGAATTATTATTATTATTAGACTTTCTTTACAAATGATAAGTTAAAAATTACCTCAATATCAAAGGAATAAAACGTAAAGTAACACATGTCGCTCGAGTTCGAGTTCGCTGGCGGTAAAAGTAGTGTTGCCTAATAATGATATGAATCGATTTATTAATCGATAATTTTATTAACACAATGTGATTAAAGTTTAATTAATTTATTCTTTTGCGCACATTAAAATACAGGGTGGACTTACTGGCATTCTCTAGCAGCCAACTGTTACAATAAATATAAATTGCGGTGCATTGAACTAAATAAATTTATGAATATTATAAATAGTTTAATAGATAACACATATACATATAGATAACATTTATACATATAATTTAAAATAAATGAACATTATTATTAATTATTATTATTATTATCAATTATCCCAGAATCGGGTAACAGGCTGAGTCATAATAGTTACACCTTGTGACGGTCTTTTCACTCCTCTGACTACAGATATGTAATCTTTTAACATTTTTTTTTTGTTTTGTAATTCTAATTACTTCATCTTTAAACTTTAGCCAAAAATTTAAAGTCAACTACTCCAGGTTGGAAGTAAATGTCACTTTTTACTCATCCAAAGATTCAAAATGGATACTTAACCTAATTTTGACTAGCTATACTGAAAAAAAAATGTCCTAAGTGTGTTTATTAAGTATATATATAATTAAAACCAGTTTCGAACATATTATTCTTACTTACTTAAAAATGATTCTAATTTACCCTTGGCTTCCCTTAACGCCGTAACTTTTAAAATTCCAGTTGGAATAAGACGCGCATTATCGTTTTAGAAAATATGAGCGAGGCAGATAATGACGCTTTTTAATTAAACATTAGTAAATTGAATACTTAGATTGTATTAGATTAGATTTATTAAATGCAAAACAATTATTTAATATCAATTATATGGATTACAACAGATATTCAATCTACTTTTTTTCAGCTGCAATGCAAGCTCGACATCTTTTTAAAAATGATCGGTTTATCTGACGAACGAATTTTCCGTTTTTAACTAATTTAGCTGCTTCCGTTAATCTTTGTCGTGGCTTTTTTTTTATACAACTTAGAATAATAAACAAGCTGATGGCCCACCTGATGGAAAGTGGTAACTGAAAACGGCGCTGGTAGAAGAGGAGGGCAGCGACAATAATAAATAATATTAAGAGAGGCTTACCAATATATTTTCTTAGACGTACACACTTCTTACAATATAACAATAATAATATGTCACTCAAAAAGCAAAAACAAAATAAGTATCAAAAAGACATATTCATAATATAAAAATATAATGCTAAAAAGGTAAATTATATAAAAAGAGGTCTGTCGCCAACATGGCACGCCCCGGTGCAGAGCACCAATCTAAGGAGGCGACAAAAGCAATATCACCATATCAATCGGACTTCCATCTTGTTGTTGTGGTGACGGTACAAATCTGTGTCGGTATAGGGCGAACAGCTTCAGTCGACGGAGTATCCAACAGCAAATGAAACACTGTGAGAGCTGGCGGCTTCTCAAAATCTGCTGGGACTGGACGTGGATTTATTAGCACCTCTGCTTCTAGTAGTAGAATTGGGTGTACTTCTTCCGTTGGTGCTTTCTGTAGCAAAGTTATGGAAACAGTATCCTTGATAAATCTGAAAAGACGTCCCCAGGAGCCACTCATTGATAGTGCTGTTGGACTCAGTCATCATTCATCAATCTTGTTGTTGACTGTAAAAACAATGACCTTGGCAAGTTGGTTCGCTGCACCGACAAAAACCGTTAACCGTTTTGTAAATAATCTTCGACGGGCGATAAATCTTCTAAGATTCATGTCGGCAGCATCCACAGAAAGGCTTTTCACGATTTCCAGGTAAAGAGCTCGGGCGGTGAGACATGTAAATACAGCTACCTAGAGCTTTTCTCGCTTGCATCTAATAGTAACCTCCACCGGGGCAAAGTAATAGAGACCGGTAAAAAATAACGCCGATGATGCGATAACTTATCACCGAGAAGGTATAACTATAACATTTGGCAACAGACCTGTAGTGCTATTCTCTAAGCAAACAGCCTAGACATCAGCCTTGACGCAGCGATGAAATATTGAAATGGTATTCACTAATTCTTAAGACGCGACACTAGCGCCCAAAGACGAGCTCAAAGACGAGCGGCATAAACGGGAACTACTCATGGCTGTGCGATTTGACATTTTGCCATAGTATTTGGTATTCACTAACAAAAATCAGCCTCGCCTTCGCCGACAGCCTAGCCTACAGCCTCGATTTCTTATGTCAAACTCAAAAGCTTTGTTTTCTACGCTGTTTGCATAGTATTCATCTAATATATTTATTTGTTTCTTGAATTCTGTGATTATTAATTGTATTGAAATTATCAATTTGTGTTTAAAAACGATTGCTGCCCGTTTATGTGTAATGACCCATTTGTTGAAAGAAGCTAAAATAGAAAATGATTGTAAGAAATGCCGACAATCAACAACTTTATGTGATGTGGATTATATTCATCATTACCGACTTTCTGAAGAATTAATCAATATGTTAGAAAAAGAATTGTCACCATGTATGCCTGTTCCAGAGAGTTGTTAAAGCTAAAGGTTTGTAACTTAAATTTTATTAATTGATGGTATTAGGTACATAAATAAATTTAAAGCAGGAAAAAGAATACTTTGCAGTGATTGTGTGCAGTTGTTTATTTTATTGAGACAAGCTTAATTGTGTCAGCAGATGTTTGTGTAGGGAACAACTAGCTAGTTAATAATGGTGTGTAACAAGTATTCTAGTATGCATAATAATACTTCTGGTGTTACAAATATTCATGGATCATGGTAACCGTTTCCCATTAGGTGATCCATAAGCTTAGTGGCCTCTGGTTTTGTATAAAAATAACTATGTCTAATATGTTAGAAAGAAACCAACTTAGTTAAACATGTAGTAAATTATTAATTCATGTCAATTAATTTTTGTTAAATTAGACCACTAAATTTAGCATTCAGGTTGAAACTATTATAAAAAATTGTTTCAAAATCATAGTTTTAAAAAACATGACACACATAAATTCAGGATTGGCTATGTGGCTAATTAAAAATAATTAACATTACTTGTTTTTTTTCAGGTGATTTTGAAACTCATTTAGTAGCATGACACAAACCCTTGGACAGCCACAATAATAGTAGTGTATTGCTGTATTGTTTGTGATATGCTGATAATATGATGCAGTTACATCATCTATACAAAATGAAGAAGCACAAAAGAAAATTTTGTAGTCTGAAAATAAGCTAGCTATACTTTTTGTACTTATATCTTAAAACTATTTTCAAATACTTTTTTATTGTTACATTTTTGTCTACCTGTGAATTAAAATTAATATTATATTATGTTGTAAATGTATATTTTAATTTAAAATTATTATAATTAATTCATATTATAACTAGTACGAGGTTTGTCCGGAAAGTACGTATAAAAGTTTTTTAAAAATTTTATTTTACAATTATTCAGGTAAATCAATTTTATCCCCTTCAAAGTACTCCCCCTGTGACATAATGCACTTGTGCCAACGCCGTTTCCACTGTGAGAAGGCTCCTTGAAAGTCCTCTGGTTGTAGGTTTCTCAGCTGCCCCGTCGTAGCTTTTTTTATCTCATTTATGTCCCCCAAATGCCGCCCCCGAAGTACCAATTTGGTTTTTGGGACCAAGAAGAAGTCACACGGGGCCAAATCCGGCGAATAGGGGGGTGTTCGGTCACCGTAATGGAATTTTTACTCAAAAACTCACGGACAACAAGAGAGGTGTGGGCAGGGGCATTGTCGTGGTGAAGAATCCAACGCCCCTCTCGCGCCAATTCTGGACGAACTCGTGCCACACGAGCTTTGAGGCGTCTGAGCACATCGACGTAGAATTTTCCATCAACTGTCTGGCCTGGAGGGACGAATTCTTGATGCTTTCTCGGCCCTCTCTGAATCTTTTTAGCCACTTGTGGACGGTTGGTTCCTTCACAGCATCATCCCCATAAACTGTTCTGAGATCGGCAAAAATTTCACGGCCATTCTTGCCGAGTTTCGAGAGAAACTTGATTACGACGCGCTGCTCTTCAACGGAAGCGGGCTCCATGCCGACGGGGTTTCGTTAAGAGGTAACTTCACAGATGGCGTGACAAGCCAGTTCGCACCGCACGGCGGTCAGACCAGAACTGAAGCATTGTTAGGGACATAAGGAAGGGGTCCTGCGCTTACCTGGCCTCCCCACTCCTCTTTCTCGCATTCCAGAACACTTTTATACGAACTTTCCGGACAGACCTCGTATGGAGTAAGAAATTAAAAAAAATATTCATTAAAAATTATTTATTTGAAATTGAAACAAGTTTATAATTATAAAATTTTATTGTAATTGTGTTTTTATTTGAAAATTATATAAGATGAAACTTATATTTCAAAATTACTAATGACTATTAAATGACATAATTTATATTTTCATAATATATATATAATATCTTGTTATATATATATATATATATATATATATATATATATATATATATATATATATATATATATATATAATATTTACTCGGTGCTCTTCAGTGGCAACAAATCTTTGTGAGACTACTCTCTTTCTAGTTAAGGCTGCTATTGTGAAGGAGATAAGTGTCATCGGGATACTGTCAGTCAAATGACGGCGTGGACCTAAAAATAACAATAAGACCAATTAGACACATAATTCTAAAATTATAAATTAGTTATTTATTTGAGATACTCCACAAAAATATAATTAATCCTTTTTTCTGTTCGTGTATGTCCTGTCACAAGCCATGTCTGATTCTTTATATAATCCATCAGCATCTCCGACTACTTTGCGAAGGGACCTCATTTCATGGCATGTTACGAGATATGCATTTATTTTAGTTACTAAAAATATAACCTTAAAAACAATACAAGTGAATAAAAAGCACATTTTACTTACGTATTTGATAGATACATCCAAACTTATAAAACGTTGGTAAAGTTACGTTAATTTTATTAATTATTTTTAAAAGAGAATAAACAAATACAAAAAGTGCGCCTCTGGAATGTTAAGTACAAGGAATATAATACTCTCTACGTACCTACGTATAAGTGTTATTTGTTTAT